CGGTGTTGGCAGGAGGAACTCTTATTTTCCCCATCACAGTCCTCCTGTAACTCGGTGGGGACCCTCGTTTCCCGACAGTTCTGGACAAGTGGATCGAAAATGACCAGACATACCACAGTAAAGGCATCGTCGCTCCCTCATCCGTCTGTCCCTTTCACTGGGAGAGAGTCTGGAACGACCTAGCTGCATATCTTCTGGAGGCTCGGGAGCTTGTTCATTGACTGGGGGAAGTCTGACTGGTGGAGCATGAACTGGAGATGCAGGTTTGTGAACAGGAGTTTGGGACTGGGATGCTCTGCCTCGAGTCATTCTCCGTTCTCTCAAGCGAATATCAAGGCGAATGGCCATATCAATAAGGGATTCTAGGTCTTTGGCTGGTTCCCGGGTGGCCATCTCATCTTGAATGGATTCAGCTAATCCGCCCAGAAAGCAGACTCTTAAGGCCTCGTCATTTCATCCACTACCTGCTGCAATAGTTCGAAATTCAATGGCGAAGTCTGCAGCGCTGCGAGGACCTTGACGGAGAGTAAGGAGACGTTTGGAAGCCTCCTGTCCACTAACTGGGTGATTGAACACCTTCTTGAATTCCTTCTCAAAGGCTGTGTATGACTGGCAATAACTAGGCTGGGACTCCCATGCCGCAGAGGCCCAAGACAATGCCTTGTCAGTCAGAAGGGTGATAATATAAGCGATCTTTGAGCGGTCAGTGGGAAAACTTGAGGGCTGAAGCTCAAAAGTGAGAGAGCACTGGGTGAGAAATCCCTGACAGGAACTAGGATCTCCTGAGAATGGCTTGGGGGGTGGAAGTCTGGGCTCTGCAGCAGCTACTGGAGCTATGGGAGGACTGTTGGTACTTAGGGGTGGTGCAGCAGGAGAAGCAGGAGAAGAAACCCCAGGAAGGCTTTGAAAGAATTGCCGAATGGACGACGTGACATCAGCAAGGAGCTCTGAGTGTTTTGTCATCACCTCCTCTTGACGACGGAGAACCTCTTCATGACGCTGGAACGAAGCTTCATGACTGCCAATCACTGCCAACAGATCTTTGGTACTGAGTGCCTCTGGGTCCATGTCTGACTCGGTGTTTCTGTCACGACCAGGCCTTGAACCCGGGTCTCTGGTGTGGAAACCGATGTGTATACCACTAAGCCACAGAGGAAGTTGTGAAAAAAAAATATCAACTTAGGTTCTTCTCAAAAATGAGGTAGCAAAACAGACAACTTAGGTTCTTCTCAGAATGAGGTATACAAAATACTCTAACAGTATAATAAACATGTAAAGAAAACTCCACGAGGGGAGAAAACAAACAGATAATTAATGCAGTCAGCAACAAGGAAAATAAAACACTCTTACTAGACGTAGCTCAGGAGATCAAGGGAAACGCAAGGCAAGTTCACAAGAGATGACTCAAACACCGAGTGAGGAACACAGACAAAGTGACAACTTAAATACACTGGCTGGAACAAGTCACAGGTGATCTAAATTAAGTAAACAAGAACACATGAGGAACAACAAATACAGAGGGGAAACACGGGGACCTCTAGGGGAATGGAGACAAACTGCAGGATGGTGACAAAAACTATTGGAGTTTGTGTCAATTAGAATTATTGACTATTGTTATTTAATAAAACCGAATATTAAATGTCATCTAATATATTCTTGAATACTTTGAAATATAAGAAAACTGCTAAATTTGAGTTCAGATAGGAGGACCACGAGACTTTATATATTTATGAACTTTGTAATGATTGATGGGTCAAATGACATTAATCATGTGAGACACAAAAAAATCACTGATGTATTCTGATATTCCTATGCGTTAAAGCACAACTCTTAATGATGAAGTGAAACGTAAGAGAAAGGAAAGGCGTCTCTGGCAGAGGGCGCGGCGAGCAAACAAATCAGCTGGACGAACTCTCTGTGAACCCCTAGCTACTTCAGATGACCCTCTTGCTAGTAGTCGAACTCTGAATGAACTCCCAACTTGTACTTTTGCTGAACTCTCTACCGAGATCACGCACCTGAATTTGAGTGCATAACTATATAGCACATTATAAATCAAGGCTTATATTAAACAGCCTAAATGTTCATTTATATGATACAATGTACTCTTGATGACTATGTATCTGTCTTTTTACTGTTCAAGTGATTTAGCATGCTCCTTGAATGTATGATTTAAGTAGTCTGTGCACCTGTGTTTAGGGTAGATTTATGAATACTGTCACTGAGACACTGAGTATAAAAGCTGACATGTACTCTTCAGCTTTGCGCTTTCTGACTTCTGTATACTGAGAGTGGTAGGCCCTTTATTCTCAACGGAGAATAAAGTAATGACTTTTGTTTCTGTAATTTGTCTTTTGTTTATTCTACTTTTTCACTGGATTTTATTTTATTAATAAAAGTGTATTTTATTACTTTTCTTCACTGGAGTGGACATTGAATTCATTTTCCAGAACCCATCAATGTTACCCTGTGTGGTAAAGTATGCTTTAATTTATTATTTTGCAAAATACGTTCTTTAAAGACGATCCTTTAACTAAACTCTCGCTAAGAAATATAGCAAAGGGAGGATCCTGATTTTAACTTTGTTTAATTAGGGTGATTAAATAAAGGCGAATCAGCACAACCTGCAAAATGCAAATGATCAGAGCCTGTCAAACCTGCTCCAATAAACCAATTCACAGATAAACTATAAATATAATCATTAAAATATAAAATATAAATAAAGATTTTAGAGGTAATTAGATAAAATAATCTACATAAAATACAATAAAATACACTGATGTAGTATGTGTTTTGTTTCTTCTGTCAATCCACTGAATGGGATCCACATTTGGTAACCCAATATGAAACTGTATCTGTTGAGTGGAGAATCATTTACCTCAGTGTGTCCAGTTTACAGTGTCGACTCTTCAGTCCATCAGAGAGCTTCTTCACTCCTGAATCCTGCAGGTCATTGTTACTCAGGTCCAGCTCTCTCAGCACACAGTTTGAGCATTGTAGAGCTGAAGACAAACTCTCACAGCACTGAACAGTGAGATTACACATGACCAGTCTGAGAAAAAAAAATAATAATCAATATTACTGTGTAATTTTTTGTAAAGTTGTTTAATGCAATACATAATTATAATCCATCCATCTAACAATCTACAGGAAAAAAACGTCTTGAGTCTGGACATTTTGCAGTTTACTTAGAAAAGATTTGAATATATTTTTACAAACATTCATTATTAAAGCTATGATTAAAATCACAACCCTGTAAATGTTTTGTGTTTTTCTTCTGCCAATCCACTGAATGGGGATCCACATCAGGTAACCCAATATGGAACTGTATCTGTAGAGTGGAGAATCATTTACCTCAGTGTCTCCAGTTTACAGTGTTGACTCTTCAGTCCATCAGAGAGAAGCTTCACTCCTGAATCCTGCAGGTCATTGTTACTCAGGTCCAGCTCTCTCAGCACACAGTTTGAGGATTGTAGAGCTGAAGACAAACTCTCACAGCACTGAACAGTGAGTTTACATGTGGCCAATCTGAGAAAGAAGAACACAGATTACATTAACAGTGTGATTTCAGTCATTTATCTGATGTAAAAACAAACTATGAGGTTAATAATATGACAAAACTACTGGAATTAGTGTCAGTTAGAATTATTGACTATTGTTATTTATTAAAACTGAATATTAAATGTCATCTAATATATTGTTGAATATTTTGAAATGTAAGAAAACTACTAAATTTGAGTTTAGATAAGAGGACCATGAGACTTTATATATTTATGAACCTGCAAAATGCAAATGATCAGAGCCTGTCAAACCTGCACCAATAAACCAATTCACAGATAAACTATAAATATAATCATTAAAATATAAAATATAAATAAAGATTTAGAGGTAATTAAATAAAATAATCATTAAAATACACAATTTCCTGAACGGATTAAAAAAAAGAGCAACTTTCATTTGAGAAGCAGCATTTTGTAGTTTCTCCACTAATGCTCTTAAATATATCTGGACATTTCCATCTCAATCAAAACACTTTTAATGTTGTAGAGTGGAGAATCATTTACCTCAGTGTGTCCAGTTTACAGTGTTGATTCTTCAGTCCATCAGAGAGCTTCTTCACTCCTGAATCCTGCAGGTCATTGTTACTCAGGTCCAGCTCTCTCAGCACACAGTTTGAGGATTGTAGAGCTGAAGACAAACTCTCACAGCACTGAACAGTGAGTTTACAGCACTGTAGCCTGTGTAGAGGACAGTAAAAGACACTGTATTATTGTGTGTGAGTGTGATGTAATTATTGAAGTGTCTATAATGAGTGATTTCTCCTCATAGGGAAAAGGAAAAGACTCCTTTAACTATTCAGAGTTGCTTTAATGGTCACATGGAGGAAGATCAAACATTTGTATTTCATTATTACATAAACTTTATAAAGAGAAGATCTCTGACCAAAATGAGTCGGCCAGACAGATTTATTTATTGCTATTTCTGTTCTTATATTTCTGATATTTCAAATCCATTCAGATCCTCATATTTGTTAAAGAAAGCAAGACTCTCATATAATATTAACAGACAGAAAATATGATTTTACAAACTGTATTGCAAATAAATCACATCAACATCTTCATATTAGTCAATAATATTCCTGAAATGAATATAAAACTGACTGAATATAACTTTACACACATGAACATCAGTAAATAAAGAGACTCAGTGATGGGCTGAACATCTGCAGAAACACAGCTCATTTACAGACGCCCCAAAAACACCAAAGAACACCAATCAATGATCATTTTAGCAGAAATGACACTAAAGAGCAATATTATATCTGATATAAACAGGGTTTCTCATATTTGACTTCACATTAAATATGAAATATTCACAATAAATAAACAGAAATAAAACACATCACAGCATATGCTCATTACCTCATCAGACTTTACTGCATTTCACAATGGAAAAGTCATTTGTGGCAGCATTTATTTGATGGAAATGTTTTATTTTACCTCAGTGTCTCCAGTTTACAGTGTTGACTCTTCAGTCCATCAGAGAGAAGCTTCACTCCTGAATCCTGCAGGTCATTGTTACTCAGGTCCAGCTCTCTCAGCACACAGTTTGAGGATTGTAGAGCTGAAGACAAACTCTCACAGCACTGAACAGTGAGTTCACACCACTGTAGCCTGTGTAGAGGACAAAGAGCAACACAATCAGCAGTAAGAAATGAGCAGTGTTGAGTGTCCATGAGTTCAGTGTACAGTGATAAAAGCAACACTGGAAATAAACTATATATATATATATATATATACTGCTCAAACAATAAAGGGAACACTAAAATAACACATCCTAGATCTGAATGAATGAAATATTCTTATTAAATACTTTGCTCTTTACACAGTTGAATGTGCTGAAAACAAAATCACACAGACATGATCACTGGAAATCAAATGTATTAACCCATGGAGGACTGGATTAGGAGTCACACTCAAAGCTGTAGTGAACTGCAGGAATTGCTGACACACTCCAGACTAGGGATGCACGATATATCGGCGCCTATATCCTTATCGGCCGATAAACGCTATTTTTTAAATTATCGTTATTGATCCGATGTCTTAATTAGGCTGATATATTTAAGCGGATAAATTACGTAATTGTACAGACCTGTGTGTCGCGCTCGCGTGGGCAGAACATGTTCAGACTTGTCCAGTGCACTATAATGGATCTCTCCTCACACTGTTTATTCCTTCAAAGTCCGTCCTTTCTTCACGTGGCATTGCTGTGAGTTAATAACTCAGTAAGTAACCACGTTCCTCATCATTGTAGATATGCTTGATTGAGTGTCATTGTGTATTTTGCTTTAAATCGCCTCAGGAAAAATATGACACGTGTAAACCTTTCCTGCTCTGTCTCTTTGTTGTGTAGAGATATCAGGGGAGATTCGCTTATTACTCCAGGGCCGAATAATGTTAGTTTCGGGGTGAACTCTTTTCATTGCAGCTGGTGAATTACAGAGGACACATGTAACTTAGTCCAAAATATTTATTACTTTCAGTGTGGTACAACAAATAAGCCACCAAAGAGGAAACATCACAGAAAATGGTCTCATTGCGAAAAAAACACTCCTCTTTTCTCTCTCCTGTCTCACACACACCACAAACTGCAGCCCAGTCCCGTTGAAGGACCCGCACATTTTACAACACGTGTAAACATAACGGTTGTTTGTAATCTGATTATTTGTTATTATCAACGCGTTGCTGGTCATGTGTTGTTGATGTAAGATAGTATTCAGTTTGATCGGAATACTCATATTGATTATAACAAGCTTGCGTGAGAGCTGTCACCACGCACACACAAACACACTGTAGCACTGTAGCACGAGGGAGAGGCGAGAGGTGAATCCAGTCAAAGGGGCTCTTAACTAGCCGCTCATTTTGTCTTTATATTCTGCTCTGTGTTTGTCATAAAGTCAGCTCAATGCAGGTTTTGTATCAAATCTGACTCTGATGGCAACTCTGCCTCTACAGTTGAGTAAAACTCTCAGCGATTTATCATAAACTTTTCATCCATCATTTTCCCGCGATTGACGGCAAGAACGAGCGCAGAAGCGTTGTCTGATTGACAAGCAGCGCCTACATGTGACATGTCAAAACACCAAATAGGATGAATCTGTGCCGCATTTTCTAAACGTACTCTCTGTATTTAGCTGTTGGCTTGTACGGTGGCTCTGAACTGTCAAAACACCTCTGATAAAGGCTTTTTCAGACATGACATATTTGTAGATGTGTACATCACTGTAAAATGTTTTATTCATGACCATTTGAGCTGGTTTCAGTCCTTAGCTCTTTCATTTTCATCTTATTTAAATATATTTAACTTGCTTGTTAATTAAATACCATTTTGTTATTTAAACTATTATTTTTATGCAACAATCAACGTGCATGTTAATTTGCTATGAAGAAAAGGAAATCATTTTTTGCATGCTGATTTATGTGAAATTGTGAATATAGGTCTATAATCACCTCGCAATTTTGAAGTTATAGCTTTTTTGCTTTGAGTATAGACTGTTCAGTTCATAAGAGCAGTTCAATCTTTTATGAACTTTGCTGTATAAAAATATAACATTCATTCATTCATTTTCTTGTCGGCTTAGTCCCTTTATTAATCCGGGGTCACAGCGGAATGAACCAACTTATCCAGCAAGATTTTACGCAGCAGATGCCCTTCCAGCTGCAACCCATCTCTGAGAAAAAAAAAAATATATATATATATATATATAACAATTTAAAATCTCTATAATTATCTGCCTATATATATCGCTATCGGTCCCCATGTCTGAATAATTATCGGTATCAGCCAAAAAATCCATATCGGTGCATCCCTACTCCAGACACATGGACATTTTCAGAACACGAATATTTATTTCATTTAAATTATACTATTTATTTATTGATTTAATCTACATTAAACTAAACTAAAGCTGTATCCCCCATTCATGTGACTGTAATGAATTATTGAACAGATTATTAATAACTAATCAGAGAGCATTTTACTGAGCTCAGTGTAAAGTTTAGTGTTTAGGTCTACAGTAAATGTAATATTAGAGGCATGTCTGCGGCGAGACGGCAATACTGTGTCTAAAATTACACTATTTCTCTGATCAGAAAACAAACACAATTATCCAAGAGCAACACTGTGTTAGATTTGAGCAAATACACATCAACAAATGTCCTATTCAGCTGGAGGAGCACAGGGATTTACAGGGATTTGAGTTATTTTCCAGGATAAACTGTAAAGCAAATGAAGTAGATTATTAAATAAGTACAAATGTTGTTTGTGTGAGTAAAAAGTCAAAAAAAGTTTGTTAAATACGTTTAGAAATGCTGAAATAAATGAGCAAATAAGGAAACAGAACACTGCCGCCGCTTCCCCATGCAGTAATATGGTGTATCAGCGATCTCACAGGGGGACGATATGGCCAGCTAAAGATTTTCTGTTAAAGCAGGGCAGTGATTCACTAAACTGATCTGAGTCTTCAGTGCAGACTGATGTGTGTCTTCTGTGATCAATCAATGAATACTCACAGAGCTCTTCTGCAGTTTCTCACAGCTGCTGTCAGTCTCCGTCTTCCCTCAGCTGATGTGTTGAATTTATTAAAGTCTAACTCATCCAGCGGCTCCTCTGACATCTCAATCATGTAGGAGATTGTTGAGCAGTGAGCAGGAGAGAGTTTCTCCTCTGAGTGTTTGTCTGATTTCACAAACTCCTGAATCTCTCTGGCCAGAGTCTGATCTTTCACCTCCAGCAGACAGAGGAACAGATTGATGGATCTTTCAGCTGAGAGATGTTTATCTCTCTTGATCATGTCTTTAATGTACTGTGTGATTCTCCTGATGTTCTCTGAGCTCTTCTCTGTGTGTGTCAGCAGATCCTGGAAGAGTCTCTGATTGGACTTCAGTGAGACGCCCAGCAGGAACCGCAGGAACAGATCCAGATGACCATTACTACTCCTGACAGCTTTATCTACTGCTGAACTGAGCAGAACATACAGAGACTCCTCAGAGCTGGACTGTAGATATTGATCATATGAATATTCATATTCTTCATCATCTGAATATTCTTCATCATAAATCACCCTCAGCGGTTCTCTGTTCTCTGTTAAATGGCAGTAAAACACAAAGAAAGCAGCCAGAAACTCCTGAAAGCTGAGATGGATGAAGCTGTAGACTTTCCTCTGATGAATCACAGATTCCTCCTTGAAGATCTCAGTGCAGATCCCAGAATACACTGAGGCGTCAGTGACGTCTATGCCGCTCTCAATCAGGTCCTCCTCATAGAACATCACATTGCCCTTCATCAGCTGTCTGAAAGCCACTTCAGCAAGTTTGAGGATCACTCCTCTGTTGGACTGCAGATTCTTTGGATCTCCCTGCAGATTCTTTGGATTTCTCTCTTCATACTTCTGCTTCCTCACGTTGATCTTTAGCTGTCTGAAAGCCACTTTAAGTTTGCTGATAACTCCTCTGTTGGACTGCAGTTTCTCTGGATCTCCCTGCAGATTCTTTGGATCTCTCTCTTCATACTTCTGCTTCCTCATGTTGATCTGAATCAGCAGGAAGTGGATGTACATCTCAGTCAGAGTTTGAGGGATTTCTGCTCTCACATCTTCTTCCAGGAGCTTCTGAAGCACAGTGGAGGAGATCCAGCAGAAGACGGGTATGTGGCACATGATCTGGAGGCTTCTTGCTCTTCTGATGTGGGAGATGATTCTGCTGGCTTGATGCTCGTCGCTGATTCTCTTCCTGAAATATTCCTCCTTCTGAGGCTCAGTGAATCCCTGAATCTCTGTCAGACGCTTGATGTATCTGGAGGGGATCTGATGGGCTGCTGCTGGTCTGGAGGTGATCCAGATGAGAGCAGAGGGAAGCAGATCTCCTTTCAGGAGGCTCCGCATCAACACAGCCACTGATGAAGATTCAGTCACAGCACAAACTTTCTCCTCATCTGAAAAGTTGAGTGTGATTCTGCTTTCATCCAGACCATCAAAGATGAACACAACTCTACACTGCTCATAAATCTTGGGCTCCAGATCTTCAAGTTCAGGATGAAAGTCCAGCAGAAGTCTGTGAAGACTGTACTGATGATCTCTGATCAAGTTCAGCTCTCGAAATGGAAGCACAAACATGAAATCTACATCCTGATGGTCTTTTCCCTCGGCCCAGTCCAGAATGAACTTCTGCACAGAGACGGTTTTCCCGATTCCAGCGATGCCTTTAGTGAGAACAGTCTTGATCTGGGCTTTCTCCTTCTTGATCTTCTCCTCATGTCCTGCTCCAGCTGAGGCTTTAAAGATGTCATTGCAGTAGACTGGAGTGTGTTGTGAGGGTTTTGTTCTGGCTCTTTTCTCCATCTGTAAAACCTCATGTTCTTCATTCACTCCTTCACTCTCTCCTTCTATGATGTAGAGCTGTGTGTAGATCCTGTTCAGGAGGGTTTGAGTCTCTCCATGGTTGATTCCCTCAAATAATCTCTCATACTTGTTCTTCATGCTGGTTTTGTGCTGCTCTTTGACTCTCTGAAGTTCATCATGTTCTGGTTGGAGTGAATCCTGCTGCAGGTCTCCAGTCTGATCATCTCCATCCACACTGCAGGAACAACAACAACACAAAGAACCAATGAGTGTGAG